AGAAAAAACTCTGAGTAGAAAGCTCACATCAAGACAATAGCTTCCTAGTTCACAGTAGCATTGCTCTGCTAACATGCTAACAGCACATTTTTAGTTATTCACCCCCTTCCTGTGCTGAATCCTAGCGTAAGCGAATCACTCAGGACTCACTCACCCCCTCCCCCTATCAACCCCAAGCTGATAGGGGGAGCTTTATTTTTGTAGCACCAGCAAAGCTTGCTGGTGCTTCAAGGGTCAATAACAGCATAACAGAACTCACTTATGGTACTGCATTCTTTCTATAAAACAATAACTGTCAGTGACTTTGTACCATAGTATCAACACAACATTAAAGATAACAGTTAACCTTACAGTAATTCCTGTATTACTGTAAGGTTCGGTACAGCATGAAAAAGAAAAGCCCAAAAGACAAACCCCTCTTAGCAAGTACTTTGCGACAGTGGGGAGGAAAAACTTTCTTTTAAGAGAAAGAAACCTCAGACAGAACCAGGCTCAGTGAGGGGACGGCCATCTGTCACGACCAGTCCAGGGATTTTCATAAATCACTCGATGGATTAAAGAGCTATTATTGATATCAGTGATAGAAAGCTCCAAAACAAGAACAAGAAGAAGGACAACCTGACTGTTTACCTTAGTTTTGTTCAAGCTTCAAACAAAGCAGCAGTGTATAACCACTTAATTTTAATTAATTGTTCAGTAAACATTGCTCTGAGGGACTGTAAAGACCTCACTCTATTATACAGCATTTCATTATATCTGCCTATTCATTACTTGGCAATAGATCGGAATAAAACAGGGATATATGTCTATTAAATATTTTGCATTATTTTACATTTTCTTCTCAACAACTCGCTCTCCTTCATTTCTATCAGGGTTTCCCACACACATGTTAAGATCTGGGTAAATGAACAGCTGCTACTGCTGGACCTGTATCTGCGAACGATCCATTGAGGGGGATGTTTTTGGCGTTGCCTGTGTGTGTCTCACTGCTTTACACTCGCTGTCCTGGAGAAGCTCCCAGAAATCTTAAATACTTTCAGTTAGGAGTGTAGTGTAATAGGTGATCCTAGCACCAATGATACTGTTTGTCAGCAGTCCACTTTTATCAAACCCAATTCTGATATTGGGTCACATTGTGAGACGTTTTAGTAGGATCCTTAGCCTTCACAGGCCAGCTGTAAAATTTGCAATCTTAGTTTCATTCACATTTTTGACCCATTTGGGGACTGCTTTTCTCTATTTAGAAGATACAGTATTTACCTAAATGTGTCAGGTATACCAGTACATTTGCTGCACATGTACACTCACTGGAGTCTTGTGGAAATACAAAATGCCCTCTGTTCTGTCAAACAAAAGCTTTATTCTAAATGACTTGATCTCAACAAGTACCATAAATGTTGTCTTCTCAACATAGACATTGGTCAGAAATGGTCATTTGAGTGTTTTTTCCAAGGAACGCCCCTTCGACTATACATTTTTTTTAGCTCTGAGGAGAGCTAAAAAGGTTCTCCAAGTGGTAGGGCGGTGGACCACTCAACCTTGATGTTTGCTGTTTTTGCATTGCTCTCCTAAACCCCAAATAGTTTTCTGTTCCACTTTTGTGATTTTATTTCTTCTATTCCTCTTATAACTATTTTATGGCTGATTTTAATATTTACATTTACCAGGCTGAACATCTGAATTTTGACCTGTATGAGAATCCCTTAACCTAACCATGTCTCAGCATTTTACATGAGTGTGGTCAGACTCTTTCTCTTACTCTTTAACAGACTATTTATGATCATAGGTTATTGTATTTGATGTAAACTGTGCCTTGCCTACTCCTAGTTTTAAGTA